CCAATTTGGAGTGGAAAGACTCATTTGACGAGTAGACTGGCCACAACACACAAACAAAACTAAAATGCCGTTTAAAGTTGTAGAAAATCAATAAAGTTGTGTTTTCGAGTTTGCTGTCGTTTTAGTGTGCGGTTTGGAGTGGGAACCCTTTGGGTCCTCTCAGATGGCAAGAAAATGGAGAAAGTGACTTGATTTGCCGATAGGCAGCGCAAAACCATTATATGAACCATTTATACGGAAGTCAGAAACACTATTCCACATGCTAAAAAAAAGGATGCAAGTTGCTTTGAACCAATAATAATTTTCGGCGACTACCGAATCCGCCTTTGCATAACGACTGTAAAGGACACAAGAGAATGTAACCAGTAGGGCAAACAAGTTATGTAGGTAGTTCAAAAGAATAGGTTTGGATACCCCAGATACAAGACAGTGTTCTCATTAGCAAAAATACTAACAAAATAACAATAAATAACAATAAAAATTAAAAAAAAGAACGCTATAGTCATGTTGGTTAACTATAATATGTATATAAGATACACGTTAATTAGCTGGTTGGAAGTCAGGGGAGAAATATCAAAATTTGGTTGGCAGATCCAAGATAGTTGATAGGCGTCGCTATATTTGAAACAAACTTGCACAAATGAGGGTCTCTAGAATCTGCGTACTTTATGGGTCCTATATTTTAAGAGAACTCGACGCCCATACGCGGACATGGACAGATGGACACGCTGAGTGGTTCTGACCAATACCATAAGAAATACACGGGAGAAGTAAATTCTATGTTTCAAATTTCAAAAATTCGATTATACCGAACCCAGCTTTTTTGAGCTAACGACTCGGTTATAGATTCTGATCAATAATATATTATTTAGAGCTTTATCACTCATACAGTCGGAAACGCTTCCTTCTACCTGTTACATATATACTTTTCAACGAATCTGCTATGTAATCAAATGTAAATTAGAAAAAAGTAGTTTTACAAAATTAATTTTCGCATTGGTGACTTAAATTATCAAGCTGAAGGCTTGGCGGTAAGTATCTGATAACAGGGAGAAATTCGATCCGTGTAAGTCTTTCAAAAGTTATTCTAATAACAGGGTCGAAATTTTTTGGAACATTGACATTTCCCATTTTTTACGGTTTGTGGGCCCATTCGAACGCCAATAAAGTAGGGTTTTAATACCAACTCTCTAGCTAGCATTTACTTATACCAATAAAAGCTATATTTTATAGGGTCAACAAAAAATTTAAAAAAAAAGGTTTACGAATAACATTATTATCTGTGATATGAAAGAAAAGAAAGAACGTCATATAAAAATTGTTTCTGATTTCGAACATGTCTTAGCGACTGTTGAAAAAAGAGCTTTAAACTTGAATTTTACAAACAACAAGAGAGAATGCTATAGTCAAGTTCCCCGACTATCAGATACCAGTTACTCAGCTAGTGGAAGTGCGAACAAAAAATTTCAACAAATCGGTAGAAATTAAGGGAAAAAATAATAAAATGAAAAAAAACTTAAAATGTTTTTAAACGTGTGAGCGTGACAGTTTTGGGCGGCTTGGGGGCATTGGAGTGGGCGGGGCAACAAACTTTAGTTGCGGTTATGTCTCTGAAAGCTGAATGTTTAATCACAACATTTTAGCTTTTGTAGTTCCTGAGATCGAGGCGTTAGTACGGACAGACGGACATGACCAGTTCAACACGGCTGTTGATCCTGATCAAGAATATATATACTTAATATGGTCGGAAACGCTTCCTTCTGCCTGTTACATTGAATTTAAAGAATCTAGTATACCCTTTTACTCTACGAGTAAGGGTATAAAAATAGATAACAATTACAAATACAAAAGCGACATTCAAATCGGCAAACGTTGTCGGACTGGTTCTGCAAGTTCTGCAGTGTAACTCTCTATCTTTTCATCCCATTCCTCACCCTACCTAGCCCTGTAATTTCAGTTGCCCCAAGTGCCCAATATCTGCTTCTAATTATTGAGAAAACAAGAGAGGAAGCTAACTTCGGAAGGCCAAAGAATATTTACCTTTACAATAATTGAATATAAAAAAGTAAGAAGGAACGCTACAGTCGTGTTCCTCGACTAACAGATACCCGTTAATCAGATAGAGAGATTGCGAGCGAGAAAGTTCAACATTCTTGTTGGCATATCAATAGAAATTAAAAAAAATATATATAAAAAAATTTTGAAGGTTATGGGTGGCTTGTGGGCGTTCGAGTAGGCGTGGACAAATTTTTAAGCATATAGAAATTGGAAAGACATAAATTTTTCAAAACTGTTTTTTTTTTGGCGGTAGGTGAGTGTTAGAGTGGGCGTGGCAAACAGTTTTTTCAATTATCAAGACCAATACAAAACTCGGGGAGTATCAAAACATAAGTGGGCGTGGTAGAGTGGGGGTGGCAACATGGGTCAACATGGGTCTGTAATCTGCATGCTTAATCTCATTATAGCTTTTATAGTTCCTGAGATATCGACGTTCATACGGACGGACATGGCGAGATCAAGTCCGCTATTGATCCTGATCAAGAATATATATACTTCATATGGTCGGAACGCTTCCTCCTGCCTGTCACATACTTTTCAACGAACTTAGTATACCCTTTTACTCTACGAGTAAAAGATAGACAGAAATTTCTAAGGCTAGTAATGATCTAAAAAAATTTTTTTAAGAATTTATCAAAATTAATGTCGTGGCAGTTTCGGGCGGTTTTTCGGCATGGCCCAAATGTTTTTTGCAAGTCGATAGAATTTGGAAATTTAAACTATATAAAATAATGGAAGAAGCACCTACATACTATGTAATATATAACCAGAAACCTGGTCTATACCGAATTAGAACACTTGATAATTACAGTAACAAAATTACCGTAACTTTTAAAAAAATGTTTTATATTATTCGTAACGCAGCTGAATGTTCTGATCCGGCCTGAGACTCTAGTTTGCTCGGCTTTAATTCTCATCAATAATTTTACAAATTATCGCAAATGTCTCTTTCACTGCGTCACTATGATACCCAGAAAGTATTCCAAGAATCTCTTATTACATTGCGTGAATTGATATTTTTCGAAAAATAAAATATATACAAATGTACAAACCAAACAAAAATTCATTAAAGTGGTTCATAACCCCCAAACATGAGGTCATATAATGAACGTGATCAATTCTATTTTGTTAGGTTATTTTTTGAGGGCTTATACACTATCTATTTTATTGTTTCTAGTTAGCAAAGCACAGAAAGCCGAAACCGTAGAACTTTCTCCGTTTCTCGATATGGACCCACATGGATATTTTTCACATCCATGAATCTAATTGAGCACATCCTCATTACAGAAGCAGACGAAGTCAGATCTGAACAAGCAATTCAGGGTTGCCCTCCCCCGTTTAACCTCATTGGTGCTGATTTGATTTGATTATGGCAAACATTTTTCACACCTCAGTGCAAAACTAAAATTTCAAAATCCGACAATTGGTTGCTCTTTTTAAAGCTCAGATACAAAACCAACGGTGTGCCACCAAAGATTAAAAAAAAAACTAAAACCGTGGCCTTTTTGAGATTTATTTGGAGGTTTACTATTAATTTCCAATTGCATATAATAGCAATGATAAAAATAGCTGGCTTCAGCAAGCAGAAGTTTAAATAATTAATGTTTAAGTAATTAAATATTAAAGATAAATAGCTGTATACCGAAAAATAACAATTTATAATCCACATCATTTCCTAATGTTTACGATTTTGATCAATTTAAACCCGAATTTATACTGTCAAAAAACATGGTGTATACCGGCAGAACAATTAATTAGTGAGTAATTTTCCAATTGCGTATGAATATCGCATTATCTATAGTCGCATATAGCCGTCCGGAGTTTATTAAATGAAAACCAAAATAATGCATTCTAGTAAAATTTGTGTATACCGAATTAGAATACTTTCTGAAAAATAGCAAAGAAGGTAAATTTATTTTCTTCATATTTTTCTAATTATTCCTATGGAACGGGGTCCGCGTGTCCGTTATGACTTATATACTACTTGCAATAGAAATAAGTCTTTTGGGCAAGTTTTATGCAAAAACCGAGAGGCCAGGCTGAAGGGAAACGACTCGGCGGTTAATGCTGATCAGGAATATACTATATACTTTATGTGGTCGCAATGTCTGACTGAATCAATATACCCTCTGCAAGGGAATAAAAACAAAGAACAAAAGAAGCCAGTACTTATGCGTGTACGTATCTACACATACGTGTATGTTTACCAAAGGAAGTAACACTGTAAGCCTATAGTAAATATATTTACTAAAGTAAAAAGTCCGACTGTTTTGGTGTTTGCTTGCAATACAATTATCTTAATCTGACTTGCCTCTTAGTTGAATTCCGCACACAGTGGGCTTAAGGGTGGGCGTCAACGCTAACGTTGCAAACAGCTGATTATATGGCGGAGAAACAACCGAAATAATATTTAAAATACGCCATTTACACTTGCCGCACAAAACACGGAGCTTCGATGCGAAAAACAGAAATAACACATTAAAATCGAACAAGGTGGTAGCACCAACACAACAGCAGCAGAACACCAATACAACTGCTCCCGAAGGGCGTCGAACGTCGTGCTGCAGTTGTTTGTGCTCTGGAAAATATATCTACATTTGTTGTCGTCCTCGGTGCTGGGATTTCACAATTATTAAAATGCAACTTAGCAACTAACAACAAGATTGTTTTAATCACACACACGCTTTTGTTGATGATGTTGGTTTTTTCACATCCACTTTTCCCAGAACAGAGAAAGAGAAGGCTGCAAATGATGAATATCCGTCGCACAGCGATACAGATTCGTTTTCAGCTCTGCAATTCGCATTTTGCGAATTTCGTTCGCTTGAAACAAAGCGACTGGGAAATCGTATGCCTCACTGCTTTTTTTACAATTTTACTTTTTTACATTTTTCTGGTGAAAAGGCACACAAACGCACACCAGCACAAACATTGACACTAACCACGCACTTGAACGACGCTGCTTACCAAACGCGGCAACTGTAATATCGATTGCCTTCCTTTGCGTTTGTTTTCTTGCAAACTTAAATTTCCTCGAATCCACTGGCGAAAAAAGTAGTTTTGCACTTGTTTAATTAGCAACAGAATACCGATGATGCGCCACCCACGACCAGACCAGTGTGACCACAGTTTACAGTAAGACCACGCGGTAACTATTTTAAAATACCAAGCGAGTATTTATAAGAATATCCCACACATGCTAAAAAAAAATGCTTAATTTATATTTGTTCCTACTATCTGTTACTATTTTAGCACTTCGATTTTAGTTGAGGTAAGCTAAATAAATTACCTTACAATGCCATTGGTTCAGAGGATGGTATTCTATGCCAATTTGCAAAACAAAGGGACACGTATCACTAAACAAGTTCAATTATATATCCAAAATTCAGCATTCACATTAAAATTTTGAACAAAAAATTTTTTTTTTTTTTATAGATTCATATATACATATATAAATTTCCAAAGACTTTTACTATAGTTTCTTTTGAACCCTTTCGACACTATATTTTTTTCGCAGCTTGAAAATTTTTATCTGATGTTAGTATTAAATTTAGAAAATTTTAGAAATGATATTTTGGCTTATAAAAAAAATATGCAAGAATAATCATGTTAACGGTACTTGCTCCTTAAAATAGAATATTAAATCGACTGAAAGATATCCGCCGCATGAGATTTGGTGTATGACTTGCTGCATTGCTTGGTTTGATTTCCGCATCACGGGATTTGATTTTAGAAAAGCTGGACAAAGCATGACCAAGAATACGAAATTTTTTATGAATTTTGAAAACTATATAGTTTAGCTATAAAGCGTTTCCATATATGATAGATGGAATCCTTTAAACTCAGCCTTTTTTTTAGTTTAATACTACTATGTAACCTGTGAGAACAAAAAACAACGGATATCAAAGGAAATAAGTTTTAAACATATGTATACATATATTATTATGTCCTAGGTACTAGGAAACACAAGTGTTATTATAACACCGTGCTAGTCAGCTACATTTTGGACAAGTATTCGTTTAAAGAATTAACTTTTGCTTAACAAGGTTTTCCGAACAGTTGAGGTGTACGAAGAGTACGGCAGCCGCCAAACGAGCTTGCAACTCCTGTTGGCTTAGATCATGTGCCCACTCCACGCGACCCCAGAACTTAAGCTGGTATTCTTCCTCCAGACGTGCCAGGGCCACAGCCTTTTCCACGGTCAGCATCTGCTCGATGACGGCGCAGGCAAGGACAATCGACTTCAAGGTGTCCACCGCGAAAATGAAGCCTGAAGAAAGAGATTTTCAATAGAAGTTGAACCGTAATTAAGGAATGCGTTACCATGTAGTGTTTCCAAACTGTAGGATTGAAAATGCTTTGCGACATTCATTTTATCCTCCTCGCTGACCTGAGGCGGCGTTATGTTCATGGTCTTCTGCAGGTTTGTGTCGTAGCGCTGGTTGAACCATGCGATCACCGGGTCCCATTCGTTAACCTGAAGGTCCTGCAAATCCTTCTCGTCCTGCAAAATATACATATCTGTGGACTCCACTCTAATACTCAATTGATTCACGAACGTCGTACTGGAAGAGCACCGTGTCTGTGCCGATGAAGTTCAGCAGGTAGTTGACCATATCAGGCTTGGACAGGTGATTGGGATTGTCAATGGCCGTGAAGCAGAGCGCGGACAAGTGCATGCGGGAACGCTCAATGTTTTGCTTCTGGGCGTCGAACTCAGTGGCCACAGCTATGGCCAGGGGTTCGCTGCGGACGACGAAGGCTGCGCCCTTGGGCGTTTTCAGCTTTCGGTGATCCAATACCACTTCATAGCCGCTGTCGCCGCTCAGTACGGAAGTTTTCTTGTAGAACCGCTTGGGTGCAGAGGCTGAAGGAGAAAAACCGCCCGCCAATCACCGGCATGTTATGAAATGGCTCGGCGTGCTACAAAAATTTTATGTTTCGGCTTACCGTAGTGCCGCACAGTGGAACTGCCCGCGGCTACTTTCCACTGGCTGAAGTTGGTCAACCGGAGGGCTCGGATGGCAGTGCCCACATGCTTTCCGTTCATTTCGAGAGTTTGCCTGCTTGATCCTATTCAGCAGCTGAAATTTAGCTGCTAAACAGCAGAGTTCAGTTTTCAGTGTGGCTGTAGAACTTTTTCCTTAAATCTCAAATAAATCAGTCGAATGTACTGTTCTTTTTATATACTTACTATCATCTGGGGTATTCCATTTGAGCTGTTTGTAGCCTGTAACAGCTTCTAATCTAGTAGCTATTTACACTTGGCGAATTCCATGGGTCTCTTTTACCAATATACATACATATATACATACATTCGCGGTATTATTAAAACACTCGAGCGCATTGTCACATTATTTGCTCTTATTAATTGCAGACTATTCGAAAGATGCAATTACTAAGGAAAATGTATGATAAGATTTTATAAAAAATTTTATAAATTTTATAAAAAATCAATTATCTAAATTGTGTCTGTATACCAAAAGGTTAAAAAAAAACAAGATATAATGCCTTAGCCGAGTTCCTCGACTATCAGATACGCGTTACTCAGCTAGTGGAAGTGCTAACGAGAAATATCAACATTTTCTGGAATATCATTAGAAATTAAGGAAAAAAAATAAAATGAAAAAAATTTAAAATTTTTTCTAAAGTGTGCGATTTGTGGGCGTTGAGTGGGCGTGGCAAAAATTATTTTGACAAATATATAGAAATTTACAAGATGTATAAAAAGTGAAAAAATAACACATTTTTCAAACGTGTGGGCGTGATAAATTTGGGCGGCTTGTGGGCGTTGGATTGGCAAAAATCTATATATATGTATGTACATATACATAAAAATCTATTTGGCAAATCTATTGAATTTTACAAGACTATCTAAATATGGAAGTGCTCGATTAAATTTTGCCGTGCTCAATGCTTAGTGTTACAAGAACCATTTAAACCGTTGTAAGTTCCAGTTCGCGCAGGATCCAAAGCAGTTTTATAACGCAAATCAGTTTCTTACCCTTCCTCGTTATGTTTTTAAAAATACTACTGTGAAAATACTACGAAAGTTCACTGCTTTACGATCTTCAGCGTGTTAAGCCTGTCTATTCGGCAGGTCCCGGCGGAATTCCTAGCTGTGCTCTTTGCGGAAGCCTTGTGCAAGGCTCTAGTAAATCCTTTTACCTTATCTCTGGAGTCTTCACAATTCCCCCATATATGGAAAAAGTCATTTGTGATCCGTTTCCATAAAAAAGGTAATGAATTGGATGCAAGCTATTAAAGAGGAATCTCTAAAGTGTCGGATATCCCTAAGCTTATTGAAAATGTTATCACTCCTCATTTGCAGCATCGGTTTTATGAAACGCAGATCAACAACCACTAATTTGGAGCTAACTTCCTTCCCAATACAGGGCTTTAGAAATAATGTGCAAACATATGACTTTAGTAATGCATTTGACTCTGTTAATCATTCACTTTTGGTTAGGAAACTTGATTTATTAGGTTTCCCTGTTGATCTTCTTAATTGGATTTTAAGTTATCTAAATGGCAGGACGCGACGGGTCCTCTTTAAAAATTCGTCCTGCAAGGGCGACCTTCCTGGTAATATGAGGACATTTCCAGCCATTCGGAGTTACATTGTGATCTAGATAGCTTTCAAATATGGTGCCGTGATAACGTACTAAGCTTTAATGGCTCCAAGTGTAAAGTTATGCTCTTTTATCGTGTCAACCCAAGACACGCGACTTACACTCTATATGGGTACTCTTTAGACAGAATAACAGGAGTATGCTTCGTGTTATAATAAGGTGTTTACAAAATTTAATGATCCCTAGATGACCAAAACCTTATTCATTTAGTTGAATGACTCCTACAGAGTATTATGTTCTAATCCTAACTCTCTCCGCTCTTAAAGCAATCAATACTAACTTTTTTAACACATAATTAAATCTTACTAATATTTACATGTTTCCTCGTTTCTTTACTATTTCCTATACCGCGTCTTTCTTTTCGCGAATCGAGCCGTACGATACACTGCAGTGCCCCTCGGTCAGTTGGGCGGGAGTTATGGAAATGGGAAATGTTGAAATAGTTTCTTAATTTTTTTTTTAAAAAACCTTAAAATGAAAAATGTAAAACCAGAAATCATTAGTTAAACCACAAAAAAAAAACGGGTGTAGCCGCAGTGTTATCCGTTACCAGCTAATGAGAGTGCGAAGAAGAAGTTTCAGCATTCATTTGCCAATCTATAATCGGCAACGAAATCAAATTGTCTTTGAGATTTGTGGGCTTGACAGCTATTTGTGGCTTGTGGGCGTTTGAATGGCCGTGGCCAGTGTTTTTGATCAAAATTTACAAGACAAATAATAAATGAGCATAGTCGAGTTCCCCGACTATCAGATACCTGTTGCTCAGCTAGGGGAAGTGCGAACGAGAGGCGGTTTGTTGGCGTTAGAGTGGGTGTGGCAACATAATTTAACACACTTGCGCTACGTTTACATATATCTCTGGAATCTGCTTGGCTAATCTCAATTTTCTAGCTTTTATAGTTCCTGAGATCTCGGCGTTCATACAGATGGACCAGATCGACTCGGCTATGGATTCTGATCAAGACTTTATATGGTCGGAAACGTTTCCTTCTGCCTGTTACATACTTTTTAATGAAATATGAAAACATTTTCAAAAGTTCTACGGGAGAATCTTCTGAAATAATCTTTACGAAAATCACCGTGCTTAATTTAAAAAATGTAGCTTTTATAGCTCCCGTAATCACAACGTTCATACGATCGGATATACGAGTACAGACGGACATGACGAGATCGACTCCTGATTTAGGATGATCCTGATTTAGAATACATACTTTCGCTCTACGATTAACGGGTATAAATAGAGAAACAAAAATCTATGTTTTGCATTTTTTATTACAAAATATTGCATTGACAATTTAATTTAATTGTATATGAATTATTGTTTGAATTTTACTTATTAAATTTATTTAAAAGCAAAATGAAGTTTTATATTTGCTAAAAGATGAATTTGTACGCAGCTGAAGCAATCATCACACGCAAAGAAAACTGTTTCTTATTAAATATTGCGCTACGGGTTTTTAGTTTACTTTAACTATTTTAGCAAATTACCTTGGTAGAACAATTCCGTCACTCTCTGTATACACACAGAAATATTAAAAAA